GGTAACCTGTCTAAACTGAACACCACAGGGAAACCAGTTCTTAACTGAACACCACAGGGAAACCTGTCTAAACTGAACACCACAGGGAATCCTGTCTTAACTGAACACCACGTAACCTGCTAAACTGAACACCACAAGATAACCTGTCTAAACTGAACACCACAGGGTAACCTGTCTAAACTGAACACCACAGGGAATCCTGTCTTAACTGAACACCACAGGGAAACTTGTCTAAACTGAACACCATAGGGAAACTTGTCTAAAGTGAACACCACAAGATAACCTGTCTAAACTGAACACCACAGGGTAACCTGTCTAAACTGAACACCACAGGGAATCCTGTCTTAACTGAACACCACAGGGAAACCTGTCTAAACTGAACACCATAGGAAAACTTGTCTAAATTGAACATCACAGGGAAACCTGTCTAAACTGAACATCACAGGGAATCCTGTCTTAACTGAACACCACAGGGAAACTTCTCTTAACTGAACACCACAGGGAAACTTGTCTCAACTGAACACCACAGGGAAACCTGTCTAAACTGAACACCACAGGGAATCCTGTCTTAACTGAACACCACAGGGAATCCTGTCTTAACTGAACACCACAGGGTAACCTGTCTAAACTGAACACCACAGGGTAACCTGTTTAAAGTGAACACCACAAGATAACCTGTCTAAACTGAACACCACAGGGTAACCTGTCTAAACTGAACACCACAGGGAATTATGTCTTAACTGAACACCACAGGGAAACCTGTCTAAACTGAACACCATAGGGAAACTTGTCTAAACTGAACACCACAGGGAATCCTTCTTAACTGAACACCACAGGGTAACCTGTCTAAACTGAACACCACAGGGTAACCTGTCTAAAGTGAACACCACAAGATAACCTGTCTAAACTGAACACCACAGGGTAACCTGTCTAAACTGAACACCACAGGAAATCCTGTCTTAACTGAACACCACAGGGAAACCTGTCTAAACTGAACACCACAGGGAATCCTGTCTTAACTGAACACCACAGGGAAACCTGTCTAACTGAACACCATAGGAAAACTTGT